TGTCAGCAGTAGCTGTATCGGGACGCCTGGGATGGAGCATCTGGTGTGCTGCTGGGTTGGTCCCTGCAGCGCCGCACCTTGGCACTGTGGTGACGAACCTGGCAGCACCCCAGCTGCTCTGTCCCAGGTGTACCCAAGTCAGCTGCTGCTGAAACTGATCAGAGGCTGATTCCAGGAAGCCGGGGCAGAGCAGCACCCCAGCTTCCCCAAATCAGCAGCTGGTTAGTTTCAGCAGCGGCTGAATCAGGGAAGCTGGGTGCAGAGCAGCTCCAATTGTCTGGCTGCCTCAAGTACTTCCAGGTTTCTGATGGTGCTGGACCATCAGGAGTGCCGGAGCATTGGATGCTGGACTAATGGAGTTTTACTGTACTTTGTAAATTCTGCAAATTGTTTAAATGTTCACCTTTTATTTCCGCCCCCCCCCCCCTTCAATCTACCCTAATTTCAGTTAAGATTAGAATGAATTATTATCTGGATGTATGCAAACTAGGGATGTAAACACCTACTAAAAAGTTAACCAGTTAAACCATATAACTAATCAATTAACAGTGGATGGCTAATGCGGAGTGGCTGGGATATTGCCATCTTTCCTCCGCCCCCCATTAACCAATTACCAAGTAAGCATGTCAGTAAGGCTAATCAGTTAATCTTTTACATCCCTAATGCAAACAGATTTTGAATACCGAACAAAAGTCCAACATGTTGATTACAAGCATGTATGCAGTTTTAAACCCCGAGGATATCACTACATAGCATTTTGGAGCAACACTCCTAACCTGGATAGATAGACTTCTGTTGAAGAGAGGATCTCGTGCTGGTGCTCTAGAAATAGCTATGGGAACATTGTGGCCCTAGTGGAGGCATAGAATAGCCACAGGACTTCGTACCCATTGCGGAGCACAATCTGAATACCTTTTTTCCGAAAAAGAAGTTTAATGTAGACATAGCCTGGGACTTTTCAGTTTAGAAAAGAGGAGACTAAGAGGGGATATGATAGAGGTCTATAAAACCATGACTGGTATGGAAAAAGTGAATAAAGAAAACCTATTTACTTGTTCCCATAACATAAGAACTAGGGGACACCAAATGAAATTAATAGGTAGCAGGTTTAAAACAAACGAAGAAAAGCTTTTCTTCACACAGTGCACAGTCAACCTGTGGAACTCCTTTCCAGGGGAGTTTGTGAAGACCAGGATTTCAACAGGTTCAAAAAAGAACTAGATAATTAATTAACGGCTATTAGCCAGGATGGGTGGGAATAGGAGAGGGGTTGCTTGAAGAGTCCCTGTTCTACTCACTCCCTCTCAGGCATCTGGCATTGGCTACTATCAGAAGACTTGATACTGGGCTAAATAGACCTTTGGTCTGACCCAGCATGGCTGTTATTATGTTGGTTAACCACTTAAAGAGGGGAGGTGGGGACTGCTCCGGGCCCACTGTGGGCAGGGAAGTATTCCAACATGGATGGTCAGGCTGCCAGTTATCTGCAACTGGTTAGCATCATCCAGTAAGGGTGATGCTTACTGATTAATCACATTTCTACTGTGAAGGTCAAAAGTGAAAAACAAAAAATACACAAAGAGGATAGGTCCATCAATGGCCATTAGCCAGGACAGTCAGTGATGCAATCCCATGATTTCACTGTCTATAAGGCAGCCAGCATGACGGATTCAGCCCACCACGCCACCAGACCCAGCCCACAGCTGCCTCGCTAGGACCGTTAAGCACAGCATAGCGGCACCTGCTTTAAATGTGGCTGCTCTATTCTGGGAGTGAGGAGGGAGGCTTTGTGCTTTTCCCACCACCCAGCAAAATCTCTCAGCTCCCACTGGCCAGTTTCTGACCAATAGCAGCTGAGATTTTGTTGATGGAGGGACAGCCAATGAAGTCCCCCCCCCCCCCTTCTTCTTTCCGCCCGGAGCAGAGCCACGTGGAGCAGCTTGCCACTGCACCCTTGGGTTCCTGCAAGGTTGCTGACTGGGAGCTGCCTTGGTAAGCACCTCCCAGCAAGAGCCAGCCTCTGGCACCCAACCCCCTCTCCCGACAGCTACCTGCCCCAGGCCACCACCCAGACTCTCTGCACCTCTTTATCCCAGATCACAACACCCTTTTAGACCATGCACCCCCTTCTATAATCCCTCCCTCAAGATAGAATCCTCTCCTGCAGCCATATTCCCTCCTGGATTCTGCAGCCCAAGCCTCTGCCCCAGATTACAACCCCCTCCTTCACCCAAACTTCCTCTCACATTCCAACCCCCTCCTGTATCCCAGTCTCCTACCCCAACCTCTCTTCTGCACCCACCCTCTGTCCCACACTCCAAAACTATTTGGTAGAAATGCAGCCCATGACAGCTTGCCAAAATCTAGGAGTGGCCGTCTATTAAAAATAATTGCCTACCCCGGGGTAGATGGACTAATGGCTGTTCTCATATTCACACAAAGTAATCTTTGAACCAAAATATTCTCTCTAATGAAGGAATTTAAGCAAAAGTGAAGTTTAACAGAATTGCAAGATAGACAATACGTTTAGTATATTAATATATGCATTTTCATCCGGGAAGACCAAAGCATCCTCAAGCTAGAAAGTGTGGTCCAATTTTAATTAAATACTGTAACCTCAGACTACAGTAAAAAAAACACAGTAGACATTAAATTCACTTTACAACAGTTTGATAAGTTGTACTCCACCTCAAACTCCTCAAGAGGTTTTTGATCATTTGAGTTATCCATAGCTCTCCATATGGAGGGCAAAACAGAAAATGCAGTCTAGATTGTTATACAGTTGAGTATCACACAGCCTAAAAATCAAAGACGGTTTTCTCACAACTGTAAAATCTCAGATTTACGACTATCTCAGGAATGGAAGCGGCTTAATACAACTTTGAAACTTTACTACGCAGAGGAAAAAGGCTGCTTTAAAATCACATAAACAGTTTCCTTACTTAGTCAAATATTAACCCACCCCCCCCATCTTTTCCCCTTTTTTAGTAGTTTATGGTCAATACCATATTGTACTACTGTATTTGCTTTTTTGTGTGACTTTGCACCAGTTATATATTTCTGATGCCAAATAAGGGTGTGTGGTTGACTGGTCACTTTGTAACCTATGTTCATAGCTTGAGGTTCTACTGTACTTTCCTTATAACCCTTAATTTGTAAAAAGTAGTAATGTAATTTTAAAGCACTCTTTATCCACAAAAGAATGTGTGACATTTAAGAGGTACTCTGTATCCTATCCTACCTAGAGTTTCATTATATTACCTTAATTCTATTACTCACTTGCCCAGAATAGCTACATTGCAACCTGTAAGTATGGAGACTAAACTTGTAGCTTCAGATAAACCAGATTGTTTAACTCAAAGCAACTTAAAGCAACTTACAGTTTCTGAATTTAACAATTTTAATGAAAGTGTACATATTCTGTTTGCAGACATAAATCACTAAAGCAGGCAATAAAAAAAAAAATATTTGTAATAGTTTTTCAGGAGATCAAAGAGAATCAGCTTTGAACTAACATTCACTCACTGCAATAGTATTCTGTGAAGATTTAGACCCACCTCTGTTCATAGCCTGCACATAACTATGGTCTTGTCTCAGTAGGATTCTCCAACAGTTTTATTTAAAGCTAACCTAGATTAAGACTCAACATCAAACAAAAACACCTACAATGTATATTTAATATATGCATAAAGGACTGTAACATTTTGGACACGGAAACAGGCGCTGGAAAGATGAAACACACTTACTGTATACAAAAGTGCAACAGCTACCCATCTCCTGCTGCTGGTACCTCATATCAATAAAACTCATCACATCCTCCATTTCCCCCTTCTCACTATTTCCTTGCCTCTAAACCAGCTGCTTTTATTGATCTGTATCACCCGATTTCTACACCTTGCAAAAAATAAGCAAGTCAAATCCATTGTAAACCCCCTCCCTCAATTCCATAAAACAGCAGAGAGAGAGAACCGGAAAAGAGAGGATAGATGCACCAAGCGATGTAATGAAGATCTGGAGACTGAGCAGCTGTTTCCTGCAATAACAGCAAGAGCACTACACCTCGCCCATCCTAGGGCTGGAAGATATACAGACACATGCAGGCAGTGAATGTCTCCCTCACCATGGCCTCTGCTTTGACATCCCCAGACAGAATCCCTAGCCCCAGCCTCCATCAAATCAAAAGCCCGAGTCCCCTCAAAAACTTACACACCCTGGGTCTGGCGCCCCACGCATCTCTGGCCTGCGCCTCCCCAACCCAATCCCAAAGCCTGAGCCATAACCCCATACGCACATATGTCAACGCTTCTCTCACGCATCTATGTCCCCCCCCGCCCCCGGCCTCCGCTCAATAAGAACCAGTT